GGAGCTCAGCTAAGTCACGAAGAACAAGAAGCCGTAAAGATCATTGTACAACGCCATGCTGGTCTTTTCAGCAGCAGCCCTGAGGACATTGGCCTCTATGAAGGCATTGAACACGAGATCAAGCTGATGCCCGACGCCGAGCCCTACGGTCGACAGCCATACCGCTACACCGCCAGTGACAGACAATTCCTCGAGCATCAGACAGCATCTCTGCTCAAGTATGACATCATTCGCCCATCCTCTGGACCATGGGGATTCCCAGCAATTGTCGTGACGCAAAAAGACAAAAAGAGGCTATGTGTGAACTACATACCTCTAAACCAGATGACAGTAAATGTCCTGCAGCCACTCCCCCGAGCTGATGACATTTTTGATGACCTTGGTGGAAGCTCCCTTTTTGCGGTCTTGGACTTATGCAGTGCGTACTGGCAGATAAGAGTGAAAGATGAAGACCAAGAGAAAACCACATTCATCACTCATCAAGGGACTTTCAAGTGGACGCGAATGCCTTTTGGCTTGAAGAATGCACCGTCCACCTTTCAAAAAACGATGCACAAGATATTTTCTTAGCTGAAGTCCCGACAGTCTAAATCAGGTGTGCGCACATACCTGGATGACATCATCATCTTTGCCGACACCTTTTCGGAGTTCCTGGATCTTCTCGAAGAGGCCCTGACTCTCCTGCAGCAGGCCGGCTTCAAGGTTTCCTTGAAAAAGTGCAAGTTTGCAGTTCCTTCTGTGAAGTTTCTTGGATTTGTGATCTCTGAACAAGGTAAACAACCAGACCCTTCAAAGATCGAAGCACTCCTGCGAATCCCAGCGCCAACAACGTCGAAACGGCTGCTTTCGTGGCTCCAAACGGCCAATTTTTACAGACGCTTCATATGTGACTTTTCGAAGATTGCAGCGCCTCTTCAAGCCGCCATTCGGAACGTCAAGTTCCAGTGGACACCCGAGTGCCAGCAGGCTTTTGAAACTATTCGCTCTGCTCTAACGTCACCACCAATATTAGGCCACTTTGATGCTGACGCGCCTACGACAGTTGCCACAGACGCATCTGCTACAGCCCTTGGAGCAGTACTCACCCAGAAGCAAGACGGAAAAGAGACCGTGATTGAGTATGCCAGCCGATTGCTCACGGAACCTGAACGGAAACTGCACAGCAATGTTTGGGAAGCCATGGCCGTGCATTGGGCCATCACAATGAAATTTCGGCATTACCTATTGGGACGACGGTTCCATCTTCTGACTGACAACTGGTCAGTCGCCTGTTTGACCTCGAACTTCAAGCCATCGCGACGCTTTACAGGAATGCTACTCGATCTAGCTGAGTTTGACTTCTCGGTTGAGCACCGACCCGGACGTCAGAACCACGTGGCTGACATGCTTTCACGATACTCATGTGCCACGGTGTCCCAGGTCGACACACTCATCGCAATGCAAGCTGAAGACAAAACATGCAAGGCCATCCGTGCAAAACTTCTGTCAGGACAGGACACCCAGAACTTTGTTGTGGTCGACAAGACCCTGTGCAGAGTTGTAAATCCAGAACTGTGCACAATTGTTGTCCCGGCCAAGATGCAACAGCAGGTCCTTGAACTTGCTCATGACGCCAATGGACACATGGATGTGTCACGCACCCTCACAAAGGTCAAATACCGTTATTGGTGGCCGAAGATGACGGCTACTACAAAAGAGTATGTCGAAGGCTGTCAAGTTTGCCAAGCGCACAACCGACCCACCACGCGATCAGTTGGCACAATGTGTTTCATGCCCACTACAGAGATCCCCTTCAGTGCAATAGCCCTTGATCACATCACAATGCCAGGAACAGAAGAGAAGTACATACTCAACGTCATCGACTTCGCAACCAGATACATCGTCCCAGCAGCAGTGCTTACAACTTCAACAAAAGATGTGCTGAAACATTTGCATTCGCTGTTCTACAGATTCGGAGCCTGTGATGACTGTCTCTCCGACCATGCCAAGTCATTCGAGTCCCACCAGTTCAGGAGCTTCATGCGCATGCATGGTGTGAACATGCACTTCTCAGTAGCATACCGTGCTGCCAGCAACGGACTTGTTGAACGTGCCAACGGGACGCTTGTGACAGTACTTCGGAAACTGTGTGACGGTGATCAGTCACTCTGGGTCGCTAAACTGGAAGAGGCCGCCTTTGCTGTGAACACAACCCGCCACCGAAGCACCGGATTTTCACCCTTTGAACTTTTGTTTGGGTTCATACCAAAGCTGCCACACCAGAAAGTCCGCCCACATCAAGCCTCTGACCTCAGCGAAAGACTTCTAGCACTACCAGACCTGCGAAGCGAAGCAGTCAGTAACTCTGAACAAGCTCAGGAAACACGGAAAACGATATATGACAGGACCCACCGCGATGCATCTTATGACATCGGTGATTTTGTATGGATACGACGACAAGAGCCTATCCTTCAGGGATCGGAGAAACTTGCTCCCAAATTCAAAGGATTATATCAAGTCACACGCAAGAGAACTCCAGTTACGTATGACGTGCGACGTGTGACAAACTCGACAACGACTACAGCAGAGTCCCGAGTCGCTCACGTAAGCCAAATGAAAAAATACCGGCCCCCATATTTCGATCCAATTCTAACCGAGCCGACCACTGAAGATCAAGCCCCCGCAGACAACTCCGTGGGACTTGAAGCTGAACCTGACTTGGTGCCTTTGCCCCAAAGTGAGGACCCAGGCCACCCTCCAAACCAAAGACCGCAGCGTCATCGGACAAAACCAAAGCGACTACAGGACTATGACCTGTCGCTGCAAGGTTAGGTTGTTCTTTTGTTCCAAGAGGACTTGGACTTGCAGGTGGGGTGGGATGTGAGCTGAGGTGACCTCCAGACAGCGGACACTGAGACCAGGTCTAACAACCTTGGGCAGCCCAGCGCAAGGAGCGTGAAGAGCCGCCATGAGCCTCGTGTGTTGACGAACTTGTAACCCAGCCCTTTTCTACCAAATTAAAGCCTTTTTACCCCTTTACGCCCGCTCCACCGCTCACAATAAAAACGTGCTCTCCAGACGCAATAGGCGCAGTGGCTGGGGGTAGTACTGCCGGCTGACTCCACTGTTATTAAAGTAACGGAACAAAGATTCGCTAGTTGTCCATTTACTGAAATAAAGCAACAGAGCTCTAAATACGCGAACCACTTCACAGCGGCAGCTACGAGCGAGCCTTCGATGTTCGGTACAGCCCGCCGGTATAGCCCAAAGATGGAGAACGGATACCTCCCGGTTTGTCGTCTGCAGCTAGCGAAGTCGGGCGGGTGCCCTGTCTCTCGTTTTACCCAGCCAAACCTGCTGAACTTCCCGGATGTGTGGAGAGGACGCTGCGGTGGCACAAAATGGCCCCGCCCTGAGAGCACTAAATGGAATGGTCTAAACCAACGTTACTAAAACACTCAGTTGGGAAACTCACCGTCGAAACCTGGGCCGCTGGCGTCCACCGAAACCGAGCTAAATACGACAACAGCGCCACTCTTTATCATCTGTCTGTACTCTGCAGGTCACCTTGCGATTTTAGAAAGCATGTTTTTGCGTAAAAACAAACGGAAAAGACTCTTTTTGTATGGAATTTATTGGAGTTTAGTACAAAATGATGGGCACGTGATGTTTTTAAAATCTTTATAGTTTCCAGGGTTCTGCGGCACAATTAATATTGTTTTTATACAACCACGCCTCAGCGGTGCTTTCAGGTAGCGCGTCCCGACCTAGCTGCATTTTAACTTCGGTAGTAATCGCGGCGCGTCCGCTCGGGAGACGGGGGTGGCACCCCTGTAACCTCTTCGGTTGTATCTGTTTCGGCGCCACAATGGCCGATTAAAGCCATAATATGAGTCATGTGCAGTTCCTCGAGAGGCCGCTGCGGGAGAAATGGCGGCGTTGTGTTCGCCATTAGCTCGGTTGTTGAGGACAGATCGGGGCCACTTTTTCAGAGCGGTCTCTATGACAGTTTCCCAACTGAGTGTTTTAGTAATGTTGGTCTAAACCAAGCAGCGCAAAACGCATCGTCACGACCACTCGTGGCCTTTGTGCGTTTAGCAAACACCATAATAAACCAATCCCGCAAAAAAAGAAATAAGCAGGATTGCGTTGCATTCACTGTGGGTGACTGGTTTAAGTCGGTGATAGCGACCCCGGCAAAACAACGGGCTCGGTGACGATGTCCTTTTTGACGCTGCTTAGTCGGCTCCATCGGGCCTTTAAAAAAAAAAAAAAAAATCGCCTTCTGCGCGCTACCATCTTTGTCTGCTGGGCTGTGAAACACCTTCTGAGCCTGTGCTGTTGCTCCGCTGCGCGGTATGTCAGACGCTACGCATGCGTCCACAGCTCAGTGACTCAGCATTTTTCACCCGGGGTGATAAGCGATGCAAAGGTCGAAACGAAAGCGTCGACCGCCTTCGAGTCTCTGTCCGCGTCGCCTTTTCGCCCGTTGTCCTTCTTGTATCGGAATATACCGACACGAGGTGCATGTACAGTCGTGGACAAAAGTCCCCAGGACGTGCGAACTGCGACTGAAACGAAATGCTCTGCCATCTGCCGGCGGGTCGCCTGGTTTCGAGCTAACAGAAAAACGCATGCGCGTCCTTCTGTGCCTGCCAACGTGTGCGCTTTCACGCTCTTCGGTGGCGCGGCGCCTAACTCGGAATCGGGCACGTGGTACCGCCTCGGAGATAGCGCTTACTGACATGGCACCTATAAAGCAAGAAGTCACGGCAGCTCAACTGAGCGATAAGCTGAATTGGTTATAAAGCAAGGTGCGCTGACACGGCGAAATGCGGCGCAACGCCGCGGGCGGTATCTCCAGTTTCGGAATGTGTAGCAGACGCTCATCAGCCGCCAGCGCTATCTCTGAGGCGGTACCATGCGTCGCAGTCAGCGGCACCACATGGGACGCGACGTCAGAAAAGTGCCATCACCTCCTATTCTCAACGTTGACCTGCACGCGGTACGCGGAGCCTCACCTGTAAGCGAAGACGCACTCGAAAGACGGGTAGAACCTCCGCCGGGCACTGTAGCCGTGACCCGACGCGTTGGCGACGCCCACGAAGCGAACCAGCGCCGGCCTGGTCCTGTCGTCCAGGTATGCCGTGCACACGTACAGGTCCTGGTGGGTCCTCTTCCAGGCAGACCCGTTGCCCAGCCTGGACCGGATGTCGCTGGCCATCTTGAGTTCTCCCGAAAACAGCCGCCCATCCTTAAACTCTTCCGAGGCATCGCTGGCAACGTACTCCTGGAGGCAGTAGTACCCGAGCACCAGCAGGATCCCCACCAGCGTCGGGTGCATCAGAAGCTGCCGAGATCACCGGCACGTTAACCACGATGACTTCCGCATTGTGGACTTCCTCCAGTAGTAGCTGTCACTCAGACTCTTCGTACAGAGCCAGCGAGCCTTTTCGGCTCGGCACACATGTGTAGAAGACCACGGGATTCCTTTCTTGTAACCTTGTCCGATTCATCCCTCTCTTCAGCTGAGGTGGAGGCTAGGCTTAACACGGATGAGCTCCTACCTTTCTGACGTGTTCCCGCTGTAGGAGAACACGAGCGTGCAGTAAACCCGCCCTTCTATCTGATGCGTGCTCGCAACTAAAAAAAAAAAAAAAAAAGAATGAATAGGCCAGACGTTAACGCATCCGAAGCTTTATTCAGCACTCTTTTCATAGAATCTAGCTCGCGTGCTGGGCGCCAACTGTGGTTTCGGCAATAAAGCCGACGTATGTGTACATCACACAAAAACCGTCGCACTTACGAGAGGTGCAACGGTTGTTTTTTCGCAGTTCGAGTAATTCGGTCTCGCGACCATAGTTTGCCGGGCATAATTTTATTAGGAGCACTTATTTTTTCAGGCGTTAGAGATGGTATTGTTCGTGATCGAAAACAAAATCGTAGAGGAAACAGCTGAATGTTTTTATCTCAGATCGTGTACGGCTATGAGGAGGGCAACTTTGGAGAATTTTATGTTTTCAAGAATTTCTCTCGCTTGCCGGTGGTCGCATGTATTTCATTGCTCGCCATTTCTTCACTGATTTTGTGTGTTGTAAAATTATTAAGGTGGATATTTTTAACGTCAATTAATTTAAATATTTGTTATATATTAATACGTTTTTGACTATTTCGATCGAAGTTTGAGCTTTTACGTACGCACCTATTCATTATTTTATTCCCGATATCATCTCCAACACGCTAAGAATTTTATGTTTTTGCTGAGTCTAAATTTAATATTATATGTATAAGAGACAGAGAGCGTTAAGGCCCGTTCACTCTCTTGTGACCTCTTAGAACTGGATGCCTTGAAACCTCTTACAACGAGAGGACATACTGGCGCCATCTATTGGGTAGCAGTGTAAACTTGGGGTCCGGCACATTTTCTATTTCTCTCGCTCATTATCCTTTCTTTCTTAGCTCGAAAAACTTTTCTCAACGTTATAAACGAGCCTTCCTTATAGGTATAACGCACATTTGATTTCGGAAATCCCGCTAAACCTTCGCTCTTGTGAAATGCAGTTCCTGGGTCAGAATGCCAGTGTGTTCCCTCGTCCTAAGAAAATTTAAAAGGTTTCAATAGGTTTCGTCTCTGTCGGTCGTACTCGGTTGCAAACGTGTGAACGGGCCTTCGCAAACACTTGAATAAACAACTATTTAAAAAAATCTAGCAAATTCGGGATCGATTGTTTCAAACAACACAGTTTCATTTGGCTCATTTTTAGATTCTGCAAGGTGTTGTAGAGGCTTATCACAAACCATTTCCAGATAATTAAAAAAAATTTATGCATCGCCACTACTAAAAAATATTTTTTTATGCTCGTGTCGGTATTATAGGTCTCTTGCAAAACGTCACCCTGGTAAGAATGATAACCTTTAGCTGCTTTTTTTTCTTTCTATTCACTAGCCGGCATGTCAGTGAGTATCGGCATAATTAACCCTACCGAAGCCATAATACCGACCAGTAGTGTGCTTACGCTAGGATGCAAACACGAACACACAACTGAGGAAATTCAAACTTCAACAGGCGCCAAACAAACGAAAATGTAAAATAATATATTCTGATAAATCACTTGAATCTTCTCAGTTCCCGTTCGTCCGAGCATCGTAACGTAAGTGCACTACTGGCCAGTATTATGACCTCGACATGGCCGATTACACTAGCATGACTAGTGGACGAAGCACCGATATGCCAGCTGTTGGATAGAAATCGTAAAGGTATGAATCTTGGGGTAAGTGTATTTTAGGGCGCAGCTCTTAGGCGCCCGTTTCCGGCTTGAGCGACATCGCCGTCGGCGTAACCGCGCGGTGCATTATGGGTAAATTTCCCAGCTAAATTTATCGAAAAACTTTCCCGCTAAATTTTGCAGAAAAATTTCCCCGCTATATTTAGCGGAAATTTTTCCCCGCTAAATTTAGCGGAAAATTCCTCGCTATATTTAGCGGGAAAAATTCCCCGCTAAATTTAGTAGCAATCTTTCCCCGCTAAATTTAGCGGTAAAATTCCCCCTCTAAATTTAGCGGAAAAAACTCCGCCAAATTCAGCGGAAAATTTTCCCCTAAATGGGAGGCCAGCAGTAGAGGAGAAGGGGCATAGACTTCTCTCCGTACCTTCCCCTCCTCCTCTTCAAGAGCTGCGCTCTAATTTGGCGTTACAGGGAATTGTAAACGTCTTTCATTTTTATGCCAAAATATATTATGATTTCGGCATTTTTCTTTCTTTATTTTTTTTATTTCGACTCGGTGGTGATCCCTATTCCCAAACCTGGCAAGAAAGCAGAACGCCTCTCTTGCTTTCGCCCGGTCTCCCTCACGTCGACTGTGTGCAAACTGGCGGAGCGCATGGCCACCACGCGCATCTGCTACGAACTAGAGAATGACGACTACTTTCATCCTTCCCAAACGGGTTTTTGATCACATATCGGGACCCACGATAGTCTCTTCCTCTGTGAACAGAACATCTCAACCGGCCGCGGAGGGGGAGGCGTACAAACCCGGAATTTCTGTTGGCAGTGAGTGGACTTGAGGAACGAGGAGAGCGCAGTCGGGAGGCGGGCCGTCAACTTCGTGAAGGGTTTTCTCAAGAACCGTACCTTCGAAATTCGAAGGTGCTGTTTCGTAAGGACCATGGTCCCTGCTGGAACATGCTTCGTGGTCCAGGACGAACCACGGAGAAGACAAGATCTTCAACGACACGTTTGGCACGTTTTACAGGGATAGCGACACTGTCCCCGCTACTTTTCAACATACATAGTCATGTCCCGGTTGGCCAGACAGCTGGACACAATCGAGGGCCTGTGGTCCACGCTGTGGACCATACACTATACCCACGACATCCAACACCAGCATCCCCCAAGCCGCATTTGACGCCATAGCGGACTTCCTCCCAGCACGAGCATGCCAGCCTCACCGAAGGAAACTCAATTCCTTATTTTGCACGGTAGTGCGGAGACGGAGGAGCACTTCAGCCTAACGTCTGCCGGCCAACCACTGCATCGACAGGAGACTAAGCAACTTCGCACCCTGGGCATCCCCATCAAGATTAACGGGAACGCAGAAGGCTGGTGGCCAGCTCTCAAACCTACTTGGCGGAAGATCCGCGCATCAGCCACCGTATGGGAAACGCCGGCACCGAGTCGCCAGGCGAATCGTGCAAACAGTTCTCGTCTCCCGGATAACATATATGGCGCCATTAATCACCATCTCAGACAGCGTTAGAATAAACTATTGGATACTTTATAATGAAACCCTTCGAGTCATTACTGGACTCCTGACACACACCAACATAGAAGAACTCCGCAGGCATGCATGCCTACCACGAGCAAATCATAGCTCAACAAGAAAAAAGCCACCGTCTTCGCCGCCAATACACACAAACCGGACGCAAACTAATCCAGTACGCGGAAAATAATATCGATTACCAGGGCGTTTTGATTCCACTAAACGCGCCATAGTACGAATTCATCGTCACGAAACTGAAACCGCTCCCAATTCGCGCAAACGAAGACGCCGACACAGAAGACGACACCTGGTACGATCCTAACAATGTGAGGTCGCAGTCGCGGTAACGAAATACACCGACGCAACGAGACAAACAGCACCCACAGGTATGATCGCTCTCGCCGCCGTTGCGTTCCATCGTACGGACACGGGAACCACCTTTGTGGAAAGTATAGATGCAACGATGTGGGATACACACGCGCCGGAACTCGAAGTCATGCGTCCAGCGGTTCAATAGCTAGTTAATGGGCGCAGCAAAAAGGTGCGGATTTACACAGACAGCCAAGAAGTCATAGACACCCTCAACGGCTCCCTCCACGTCGTCGGCCATCAAGCACACGCGCCAACGGCTCCTGACCGAAAATGACGTTCACGCCACGATTGCATGGACTTGGGGACAGATGGATGGCAACGCGGGTAACGAGCGCGCCCACGCCTCCGCGAAACTTGGGTGAGCTTGCACCTGGGATGCCAGACTCAACCCCACGAAGCACCCGGGTGCTACTCGACCCACTCGAGGAGTGGGTAGAGCCCAATCCAAGTCCCTCACTAGAGCCCAGATACCATCGTTGGAGCACCACCTTTCACTGGCATGCCAAGTTCTCATCCATAAATTGCGGACTTGTACCGACTCGCAACGTGTTAGCCGGATAGAGAGACCATGGCCGCGCGGAGGTCACCCCACAGTATCAGACACCCAACCACGTGAACGCAGTAACGAACGAACCGGGGAGACACATTCCTTGCCCGGATTGTATAACGACGCAACCACCACCCCCAAATTAGGCACTTGATGTAGGAATCCGCTGCACACGAGCCGCACCGACAGGGATTCCGTCGCGAGCTGGGTTACCCCAACGCACACGAACCAGGCGAGGCCAACTCTGCCGTTGGTCTTCTAGACTCCGCCAGACAGACCGGCATCATTTACCGCGTCTGAAGCGTATACAGCCTGAAGACAACCTGCGTTTGAGAACTTTCCCACTCCCTCGTCTCCCTTTCCCCAATTAGGACTGAAAGCCAGCCCTCCTGAAATAAATGCTTATTCATGCATCATCAAACCGCAGTATGATCTACATCACGATTTAAATCGTCTCGAGTTTTCTTTTCAACCCTCGCTGGAATCAAATAGCGTCGCGTCATTCATGGCCCTAACACGAAATCAACACTCCAAATACCGCCCCTTTGCAGCGCTGAGGCTGTACGAAGCGCAAGTTCGTCTCCGTCTTGCGCAGGGGTTGCGGTGACGTAAAAACACCGAGCTCTGGTTGGCTCTGACTGGAAAGATTGTGGGTAGACCTCAATGTTCTC